CACTGCCGCCTTAGCCCGCCCATCGCGCCCGCCCCCGCTGCCTCAGCCCCTGTCCTTGCTGGCTTGGCCCTCTTCCTTGCCGCCTCCCAGAGGTGGCCGCTGTCTCATGCCCGCCTATGCGATCTGCAGCTGTCCTGCCCTAGGAATCCGTCCTCTGACATTTCGCCTACCTCTCTCCCACATCTTGGGCTGCCTCCCCCAGGCGCCTCACAATGGAGGCTGTTGTCACAGCCCCACTCACCGCCTCCGTCCCCCCGCCCGTGAGCCTGCCCTCTCTATGAGCTATGCTCCCTTATCATGGCCCCGTCCAGGGAGCACCCTCCCCTTATCTCAGCTCCTAGCTGACTCCCTTAGGGACCACTGGTACAGGAGTAGCTTCGCCCTTTTCCTACAAGTTCACTGCCATGGAGTCAATTATGATTTATAGTGACCTCACTCATACACTCATATTGACCCTATAGGATGAGTTAGACTGCCCTTTTGAGGTTCCAAGACTGTAACTCTTCACGGGGTAGACAGCCTCATTTTTCTCCTGCAATATCCGTTATTGTAAATCTTTTCAGGAGCAGACAGCCTCAGCTTTCTCCTGAGGAATTGCTGGTGAATTCGAATCACCAACCTTGCAGTTAGCAGCACAATGATTTCTCAAAAACAAAACCTCACTGCTATCAAGTCAGGAGCCCTGGTGATGTAGTAGTTACGTGTTGAGCTATGAGCTGCATGTTGGCAGTTAGAAACCACCAGCAGCTCTGGTGGAGAAAGACTAGGCTTTCTACTCCGGCAACCAGGTAACAGTTGGGGAAATCCACAGGGGTTTGCTATGAGTCAGCATTGACTCGATGGCAGTGAGTTTGGTTTTGAAACACCCAGTGGATTCGGATTCATGAAGACCTTCTAGGACCAGGTAGAATTGGCCCCTAGAGTTTCTAAGACAGTAACTTTTTACAGGAGTAGAAAGCCCCGCCTTTCTTCTCCAATATAGGGTTTTGTAAATCTTCAGGAGCAGAGAAGTCTCATCTTTCTCCCGCAGATGACAGGTGACTTTGAACTGCTGACTGTATGGTTAGCGGCCAAACACATAGTGATGACACTACCAGGGCTCCTACTCATATTTCCCAGTGTGGTTAAAATCCCTTTCAAACCTAACCCAAACCTGATGGTATTTTTTCAGCTTATTTAGTGAACCAGTACATGCTCCTGCTTTTTTTCTTATGGTCAGGACTTTCTTAAAGCAGTGACCATGACCCCATTCTAGTTTTTAGTAGAGGACTGCTCTGAGTATGGGTTGTTAGTTCTTATGGCTGAGATTCATGAGGCTGAGATTCATCTACCTGGAGAATATGTTGTGTGGTCCTGTGTTATCTTCATGACAATTGATATATTTGAACCATTGTTGTGGCTGTTGTATTAATCCATCTCATTGAGGGTGTCCTCGGCACGATGGCTTTTTCTAACAATTGGTCTTTTCTGATGATGTGTCCAGTGAAAGTGAGCTAAAGTCTTGATGTTCTCACTTCCAATGAACACTTTGTATTTCTTTCATTAATTTGACTATCCTAGGCCCAAGATGGACGCACACGAAGCTCTAGTTGAGCATGCTAAGACTTATCTAGTGTCTAGTTCCTGTAAATGCCTGACATTCACAAGAATTGAAATCTAACTCAATCAGAATCTGTTTGCTGACTCTGCTCCAGTACCAGTATGTCATATAAAGAAAAGTAACCCCTAAATGCCCAACCAATTTGGGCCCAGCAATACCAGTTTGCCCATATAACTTTGGTTTCTTTCAATTGCTCACTGTTGCTCTTTTCTGAGTTCCAGGTCAGACACCATTCAATTCATGATTGCAAATAAAAGTTGCATGAATTTACCATCATGGACATTTTATTTTCAAAACTTCAAAGGCTTATTTGTTTGCTCTTCTGGCAGTACACTATACATTCATTCTTCTTCACAACACTTCCTTTCCCATTGCCTGGCTTTCGAATGCATCTGAGACAACTGAATCAAGTGGGCTCTGGTGGTACTAAGGGTTAGATGTTAGGCTGGTAATCACAGGTTGGCAGTTCAATCTCACCAGCAACCTGAAGAGAGAAAGATGAGGTTGTCTGAGGACGTCTGCTCCCATAAAGATTCACAGTCTTGGAAATCCTGGTTTGGTGGCTTGAGTGCAATCTCTCCATCAAAGTGACAACTTTACTTTTCAGAACTTTAAAGAGAAGATCTGGCCAGTCTCATACATCGTTTGGTTTCTTGACTGCTGTGGCCATAGATTTTTATTGTTGACCAAACTCAAATGAAATGATTGACAATTTCATGTTTTCCCTCCTCTTATCATGATGTTGCCTCATTGATCCAGTTGTGAGGGTTTTTGTGTTCTTCTGGTTTAGGTCTAATCCATACCAAAAAGTGTAGTCTTTTACTTAAATCAGTAAACTCTTCAAGTCATCTTTATTTTGGGGAAGCAAAGTTGTGTCAGCTGCATATCAAAAGTTGTTCATGAGTCTTCCTCCAACTCTGATAGATTATTTGCTCAACATACAGATTGAATAAATAAAATGGAAGTATATACCCTGCCACACACATTTTTTTCTGATTTGAAACCACTCATTTTCTCCTGTTCTGCTTGAATGACTACGTCTTGATCCAAGTGCAGTTTCCATGTAAGCACAATGAAATATTCTGAAATTCCCACTATCTGCAATGTTATCCATAATTTATTACGATCCATACAATCAGATGTGGTGTTAGGCTGGGTTGTCCAATGGCACTCACTATGTATAGGAAAGAACTTTAGCTTTTCCCGCCATATTGGAGCCTGTGGAGGCCTGCTGGGAACAGGACTTCTAAACGGCAAATATGTCTGGAAGGCTGTGATCCATGGCCATTTTTTTTCTGGCTACAAATGGGGTCTCTGGAACCAGAGGGAGCACTCGGCTCTTCCTAACATTGAAGATGTATACACCAGAGATGAAACGGAATTTTATTTAGGCAAGAGATGTGCTTATGTGTACAAAGCAAAGAACAGCACAGCAATTCCTGGCAGCAAACCTAACAAAACCAGGGTCATCTAGGGAAAGATACCTCGTGCCCATGGAAACAGAAGTAGGGTTCAGGCCAAATTCTGGAGCAACCTGCCTGCTAAGTCTATTGGACACAGAAGTAAAATTGTGCATTTGTTAAAAAAAAAGAACTTTATATCAAGAAGTAATCTTCTATCAAGGAGGCATCCCAGTCCAGTCCAACTCAAGTCCATAAGTCTGATACAAGGCAAGGCCCTTTTCAGATTCACGTAGCTGCTGGTGGATAAAGCAGGAAGGTGAAGCTGGAGGCAGAAGCTGGTGGGTGCAGAGACGTGTGGATCCAAGGTCAGTGGAAATGTGGCAGGCTGCCAACAGCTATCAGGGTCAGGTAGCCCACACGAACCCACCCCAAGAGGCAGGCAGAGTCCTATCAAGCAAGAAGATGGAGGGGCAGAGAGAGAGAGAGAGAGAGAGATCCCAATGTCTTCTTATAAGAAGGCTACACCCCCAAGAAGGCATCATCAGGCTGTGATCAGTTTAAAAGGTTGGAGGCGTCTCAACCCAGTCCAAATCCAGTCCATGAGTCGGATGCTAGCCGTAATCCTCTTCAGACACACGCAGCTGCAGGCTGATAAAACAGAAAGGTGAGGGTTGGGACAGGGACAGGGTGATCTCAGCCTAGTGGATACAGAGTTGCATGAATCCAAGGTCAGTTGGAACATGTCTGGAGGTAGACATAGAATCCAAGCAAGCAGGAAGAGGAAGAGCAAGAGAGAGAGTGAAAGAGAGAGAGAGGTTCCTACTGTTTCTCTTATAAAAGGCCACCCCCCTGCAGGAGGCATCATCAGGCTGTGACCTAATTGATAGTTTATCCTCCATTCCTCCACTGTCAGCTAGGTACAAGTTGACAGAAAAATCTAACCACCACAGTCGGGAAGTCTTCTTACAAACAACTGTTGGTGACATTTTGATTCCTGAGGCTGGTGGATGACCTGCTCTGGAGCACACTGAGGGAACACCTCTGTCTCAGGACACCTCAGGTGCACCCAGACCCTGTCTCGCTCAGGATCAACAGGTGACATCTTTCTGGCTCATTTTGGAGTGGGTCGGTCTCTCCCCATGCAATGCTGACAGATGGAAGAAGGCTATGAGCAGCTGTCCTCATGTCTTCCAAGCTGGCTGGAAACCAGGTAGGCGGAGGCTTGTCATCCACAGACCCACAGGGGGAAATTACACACCATTCTGTTACCCAGGGTACAGGCAGGGACTTTCCCAAGGGCATCAACTGGAAAGCAGAAACCTTTGTCAAATTAAGGCCCTTGCTAGGCAGTGCAGGAATGGGGTGGCTTGTGAAGGCCACTCCCACAGCTTCCACTGGGCTACAGGACACCCCTGCCCCATACTGTCTCTGACAGATCTTGAGTGCACTTTTTAATTT